CGGCGCTGGAGGCTGGGCGCCGGGCACGGGACCGGCCTTTCCCGCGCAGGCAGCTCTCCGATGGCTCTTGCCAGTTCGGGTCCCGAGTCTATCGCAGGAGTCACGGTTTCCTTTGCGGAGCTGTGGGAAAAGCTGAGCTCCGTTGTCAGAAATGCTCCGAATCCACGCGGTTGGTTAAGGACAAACAGCGCTTTGGGGAGGCTGGAAATCGCAGTGAGGCATGTAGGTCTTAGCAGACAAATTAGCAGCCTTCCTTTTTTTTAAAAAAAGCAAATAAATAAATAAATCAGATGCTTTAAACAGAGATTTCCCTGTATCTTTCCTGGTTTGCGATACCCATCGAGCTGAATGCTTCGCAGTGGTCTCCCGGAACTGGTTTTTGACAACCCCCAGGTCCACGGTTGATTTTGCCTTTGCATTTTTCATGGAATAAAAAGGTTTTGATGGGCTCCGGCATCATTTTAGCCTGAGCTCCTTCAACCGGCTAAACTGCAAGGGTGCCTTAGGGAAGGTTTTACACCAGTTACAAGTGAAATTTTCAGAAGCTCCATTTGGCTTAGACTTGTAATCCGATGTCAGGCCATTTCTGTCTGTTCTGAAGTAGTTAATTTATTGTATGTGAATATGTGATTATGGAAATGGTCTAAATTTGTTGCAATTTCAGTTTTATTTTAGCTTTCAAGCTTTTTGGCAGCTGTGAGGGTGCAAATACGGGACAGTGGATTTGTCCTGTAGGATGCAATAGCTACATAATTTCTCAGACGTGAAACATGGAATCGGAGGGGAAACACTCTGCTGAACTGTTACAAGCTTAGATTTCAAATCTTAATTGCCTATGGTCCATCTCTTTAGCCTTTCAGCTATTAAACACCTTTATTTAGAAGCAATATAGGTAACGTAGTGATTCGGTTTACCTTTATGGTAAAGTGCACTTTTAAATTGGATTTGAATTTAAAAAAACAACAACAACAAACCAAATACTCGGCTGATGATTGTCCGCCTCTGCTTGAGGCAATATCACCACATAGATAATGTTTCTCATTTCCCAAGCAAAGTGCTGGAGTGATGCAGTTTAGAAGAAACAGCGCTCTTGCTGGCGACTGACCCCTCCGTAATAATTGTATTAAAGTAGGTTCCCTTCGTGTGGCTGCTTTGTGAAGGTGACCGGCATTGCTGTTATCTGGGGCCCTAGCTAGGATTTGGCATCCAAGGTGCATATAAGTTTTTGACTTGGTTTTCAGGAAGGGGAGGGGTTGGTGATTAAGGTTTTCTATATGTATTTGAGGATGTACAGTAGTCGGCTGCCTGCTTTTATTTTTTGTAGGCAGTTGCTTTTCATTTGCATGCGTGTGGTGCCAAAACTACCTAGTGGTGTATGCAGACTGCTGCAGGGCAATTAAGAAAAAAGCATTCTAGTATTACTACCCTGATGTATTTATAACGGGAGTTGCTAGCTTTCTTTAAGAAACAGGCAAAGTAAGGTATGTCTGAGGGGAAAAGAAGCAAGAAAACTAGTTTAAAAAGGCAACACAAATTGTTCACTTGTGAATGTGACTTGTATTTGTCATGTAGGCTTTGAGTTGAGACTGAACTTTTAGTCGTACTTGCATAAGACATTACTGTAGTCGTGTCCTTTTGATTTTCACAGAATAGACAACTTCGTTAAAATATTTATGAAATAATAAGAAAATTTTTCAAAGCAATCTTTCTCTTCCTCCTCATGCCACCCATATCAAAACACAAACATTTTTTCTCCTTCTCTTCCCCTCTTTCCTCTGTTTTCTCTTCTCCAGTCTCTGAGTGATGTCTCCTTTCTGCTTTGAAGACTCATTCAGAGCCTCTGTCAACATGGGCCTGAAATCTGAGTTTCAAGCTGCGTTTCTGGCGCAGTTGCATAGTATATTAACACCAGTTTACCATACAGGAACAGCACATATATTTTGTATTTTATTTTTTGCCCAGCCCTCTGATTTTGCTCATGTGTTCAAGCACTTCTTCACAATAAACTTGCCATGCCCCATACCAGACATTCATCTCCTCTCATACCATAATGATATTCTTCTTACTCAAGTCCAAAATACCTTTCAGGAAATTTGGCACTCAAATAGCAAATGCTGCTCATGTCTGGCAAGATCTGACAGTCAAATAGGGCTCTCTGTACACTGCTGGCACTGTAGATACTGTCTGTCCAACTGAATACATAAATGAATGATGAAAGATGTAACAAGATAATGAAAAAACATAGTTTGGTTAAATGAAAACTCAGCTGCTCTGCTGGATTATCCTTCTGCACTTGAACAAGATATAGGGGAAACTCGTTCACGGTTACTATTAATTTAACTTCAGAGTCTCACATCTAGACACAGATCCTACTAACAAAATATTTGAAAAAAATTGGCCTCAGACCTGCAGAACAATGTATCTTTTTGGACTTGTAAAACAGGACTTTTGAGGTTGTTTTACAGTTTGTCTTTGCAGCCAGACTAGCTTTACTTGTTCCTGAAAGCATTTTTGGCCTCCTATCACAAACTGAATTGACATCATTTCCTGCATAAATAGAGTAGGAATCAAAATCTCCTATTAGGAAGCCAAGGCAATTTAAAAAAAATTTAAAAACGCACCTTCAAGTCATGGGACCTTGCTTTTGGCATGCTATTGTACTTTTTAAAGCTTCTGAATGGCTGCACATTAATAAAGGTTTGAGCTGTCCAGTTATTTAGACTTCCTTTTCTCACCTGAACTGCTGACTTTGTCTGTCCTTTCTTGCATAATAACTACCTTTTGATTGCTTAAAAGTACAGAAGCTTGTCCATCAGATTTGTCATGCTTAGTCTTACCTAACTCTGTGTGTCTTGTATTGTTTTACCTTGTAGGGTCCACCTTGAAACGACTATGTCTAGGCAAAGATCACAGTAGTAGTAACTATCCCTTTTTTGTTTCTCAGTATTTCCTCATGGCATGGGATGTTTCTGGGGGGTTGTTTTTTATTTTTACTCAAAGCTAGTCGTTTAATACTTAGAGCTGGTGCACTTGCACAGATATGAAATTAGACTGTACAAATTAAGATTCCTTCATAATAATGCATGTGCTGTGATGTTTTGGGAACCACGCATGCTGCAAGACAGTTGTGGTATTCTTTGTGTGTGAGACTGTGCACGCATGCGGTGAGAAAACTGGATTAAGTGTTATGTCTGGTGTTAAATACACAGCTTTACATGACTGCAATTTTGTTGCTGAAGGAATTCATAACTTAAAACAGCCTTGTTCCAGTTGAGATGCATGAAACATTAAACACTAATTGAAGAGCTTTTTTGTCAAAATACCTATCTTCTTATTGGACCCTTTCCCCCCTAAAAAGGAAAAGGAAATGAGCAGGATTCACTAGCAGTCACATTGCAGATTGAATGCATGATCATTTAAAGGTTTTTGTATAACTGTAGGACTAATTAATTTACTTGAGTTTCTTGGCTGGAAACCGATTAACAGAAAAAAGACTTGAATGTTGGTGTTGTTTGCTTATACAAATAATTTGACTACAGTTCTATGAACTTTTTGCTTGGAGAAATGGTCTTTATTTAAAATATTTAGATATATCAAACGTGTTGTTTGTTAAAAGTAAATTGCTTTGTACTTTCTGCTGAGGTCAAATTCATGCACCTCCAGTTGCTGCTCATTGCTAATCTTGCTGTGTCAGACTTGTAGGTCCCAATACATGAATAGGACAGGTATTTTTCTAGTTGTTCTAAAAATATGTGGGCCTATAAAACTAAATCTCTGTCAGTACCCTTTCTCTCTGCTTATCTATACCAGAAGTTCTGTATCTTTGTGTCAGAAACTAGCACACCCACTCATGTCCTCCTCTCTCCTCTTTCTTCTGTACATTCATGGGCCTGATTTTTTCTCAGTAATGTGAAGAAGGCAGAGTAAACGCTCTTAACGCATAGAGTGAGACTGTAAGTTTCTGTAGCCTTTGCGGCATAATAGGCCAACCATACTTGTAACCGATGTGACCCTTCAGTTTTTCCAGGAGGACAATAAACTCATGCAAGTAAAACAAATGCTAACATTTGTTTTTAAAATGCATGTGACTTGATCAAGTGAAATTCTAAGCAAATAACATGTACTGCCTCACACTCTCTTGAGGCAGTCTTCTGTGAAGAGACTTTGCAAGTCTGATGCCGAGGGTGTCAGTGGGAGTACGGTCTTTCCTTCCCTCTTAGCCGTTAATTTCACCTAGAGAGAGGTTGTGGGCATGACAGCTAGCAGCTCAGGTGATATAATGACGGAAAATACGAATACGTTGGACTTGGACCATTTCTTTAAGCAAAGGTGTTCTGTAGAAAGAAGTGGGAGGAGTAGAAGTCAGAAAAGCCACCATTTGAATTGCAGGGCGTGAAAAAATATTCACGCAGCAAAATGGTGAAGCAGGGATGCTATCGTCAGCTTTCTGTGTGTGTGTGATTTTTCAGGATCCTCTACAAACAGTCTTGTGCCGTGCCCGGAGCCCCTCCCGCAATCCACTCAGCATGCCCAGGCCAACAACAGTAACAACAAGAAAGGCACCTTCACCGATGACCTTCACAAGCTGGTTGATCAGTGGACAAGCAAAACTGTTGGAGCTGCACAGACAAAACCTTCTTTAAACCAACTGAAGCAGAACCAAAAAAGGCAAGACATGGAGCCAAAGGCTAATCCCATGCAAACCCAGAATGAGACATGTGGAGTAAGTGGCACTCCTTGAAGAACATACATTTTGCTATGTATCTGAAAGCCATTGCAGAACTCAGATTTGGAGGAGGACATAAATTAAAATTGCTTCAGATAGATGCTTCATATTTCTATCCATCTCTTTTCATTAAGTACTAAACCAAAAAAATTTGTCTTTTGGAATTTATCTTGACAGATATATAGACTGAAATATATATATGTAAAATATATATATTTTTAAATTGCAAAGTGCTCATTAACAGTAATATGGAGCGAGACACATACTAGTAACCATACATTGTTTGACTTTTAAGGTTTTATTATTGCTAAAATTTTCTTCTTTCTGATGTTTAGTCTTCCTCAGGCAGAGCAATGGCAGGGCTGGTGGCTTGGTGGCAGCAAGCTGTTGTTCTAGCAGAGGCTTCAAAGCAGCTTAGGGGACAGCTGGATGTTTCTCTTACTCTTGCTTGTTATACTGGGCTGTGCAGTACTAATCCCGTGCACCTTTAAGACTATCTGCCTCATGAAAACACCCGCTTCAGAAATGCTGTGAAAATGAACTGATACAAAGTGGAAATTAGAAATGCCCCCGTTTATCCCCTTTTATTTTCAATGGTAGAAAAAAACGTTGTGACGTGCATTTGTGTCTGCATTTGAGATTATCTTTTTGGCCAAGTAATGATATGGAGGCAGGCAGAAAAATGAGTAAAGATATGTCCCAAATCCCGGTTTTACAATTCTCTCCTGCCCTGCCGCTTCCCAGACCTCTTCCTCACAGATGGAGTCACGTTCCTTGACTGATCATTTTTACTGGATTCATTTTTGCGAAGAATGAAAATTGAGCCAAAGTAGAGGAAAATAAGTTGAATTTTAAAAGCAAAGAACTAGTGAAGATAAAATTAGTAAGGACCTGTTTGGTAATCCCTTAAAAATAGAGATAACGGGACCTGGATTAAAAAAATATTGCCCTTTTTAGCATGTAGAAGGGAAGAAAGCTAAGTGATAGCTCTGCAGTTGATCATGAGGTGAGACCTACTGAAGCAGGTATTATGCTAATGTGTCTGCCCTGGTACCTGCTGGTTTCTGTGTTAGTAGGATTGCTGACTTTGCAGGGAAAAGCATTTGCAATTCAATTAAGTGATTTTATGTCAACTCTTAGGTAGCCATAAATTAACAAAAACTGGGAGTAAATAGTCCTTTTACATAACGATGGTCCAATTGGTATAAACATGTTCTACAGAAATAGAGACATCTACTTAAGACCCTAGTAGTTCTCACAGAATAAGTCAAAGAAGGTGCTAGTAAATGCAGATTGGGAAGATTTCTGGAGGCGCTGGAGAAAGTGATAGTGAGGGCACAAATTTTGTTCCTTTTAAGTCAGTTCTTACCCTTTTCTTGTGTGCTTTTTGCAGCTGGATTTCTCCTCCCTGAGACTCCTGCAGTAGTTGGAAGTGTTTGGTGGGGATGTAGTGCCTACTTACCACTCTGCAAAAAAGTGTGGTCATTTTGCTTGTCTAAATCAGCTCGTAGCATCACTTCAGGGATAAGTTTTACCTCCTCTTGTCATGGTTTCTCTATTGTGTGCTTTTTCAA